ACCCACAGTCGATCATCACCCACCCACAGTCGATGGCTGAAGAGAAACCACAGACGTCGTCGAATATGTGAGAAATGTCTGATTTTTTTTTTTGTAACCCTAACCACTGAAACGACGTCGTTTCAGTGGTTATAGGGAATTAAAAAAAAAAATCAGAGCACAAAACGACGTCGTTTTTAAAAAATAAAAAATAAAAAAAATTGCACGTATCGTGCGTTTCGTACCGATACGTATCGTGTATCGGACGATACAACGTAAAAACGATATATAATTACGATCCGTATCGTTTTAGGGCTGTATCGTAACGTATCGTACGATACGTATCGCGTATCGTACGATACTAACAACTTTGCTTTCGACCCAAATTTAATGCACAACCATCAATGTAACTTCATCTCATGGAAGTATTTCTCAACTCATACTTGGTTTGTAGTGTAGTTTAGATTTTTTGAAGTTTTGGTCGATCAGGTATGGAACAGCTCTTCCAAGTTGACTGTTGAATAGTTTTTGCAGTTCTAAATATTTAAGACCTTAGAATCTTTTAACAGTTTATGCTAGGTCATACTTAAGGAGTGGTAATTGGCCTCCAAATTAAAGCTGCTGCTTATCACAAAGATTAGTCTTAACGTTTTCAGATAAATGAGTACTGTGGGCAAGGAAATGGATGGCAGGCATTAGATGTTTGACGTGATGAATTTCCAAATAATGAGGGTGTCTTTCAGCTTTGTTTTGTCTTATTTTAACTTTGTATTAGTATATATTTGTTTGTTTGCACTAGTTTCAGTTTCTTGGTTGTCCAATCTCTTTCTAATACAGATTTTGTTTAGCCTTAATTGCTGTGGATGCTACAACCGATCATTTTGGTTCTTTATGTGGTCTTCCTATTTACCATTTGACTATAATAGTTAAGTGTTTGAGATATCAGAAGAGACCAGGAGTTCTATAATAAGCCTTCTATTCCTATGTACAAGTGAAATTGAATTTGATATACTGATTTTCTTCCTTTTTCTCTGTTGGTTATGTAACTAAAGGAATTTGCTTCTTTGTGATAGTTTAGGATATTTGCGTACTCTTTCTATTGTTTTGTACTTGTGAATATGTGTGAATTGCTATAGATTAAATCTTGTAAGATTCCTTATTTCTTTGACAACTGGTTTTTTCGCTCCCCCTACCTCTCGTGGCCCTCTTATTTGGGGTTGTAAGTGATTAATCTGATTATGATTCTTTTGAGTTAATGAAAAGGAGCTCATTTGGTTGTTGATTGTGAAAATTCTTGCTCTAATATGGTCTAATGTAGGATTTTGTTTAATGTTTCAACGTTTGTTAACCAGAATCAAAGGAGAAAATAAGGTATATAGCTAGTCCTCCACAGTGCGGATGATAACCAGCCCAGACATCATAGGGATCATGCATGACAGCAATTTCAAACGAATGCTGCCTAAAATTTCGTTGTAACTTGTCCTTCAATAAGATCGTGGATGCTGTATTGATCTCATCTCTTTTGGAAATGATTCAACCACTTAAACCAAGAAACTGAAGTATTTTCTCGCTGCAATTGCAGCCGAGAAGTGGCATTGTTTACCGATGCCAATTTACTGGCATCTGTTTCACATTTTTCATGCGAAAATTAGCATTGTTCATTCTCTTTTATGCATCAAGGTTCTGTGATTATTCTCTTGAATGACTTTGTGCTTTCAGTAGGTGGTTTGCAAGCTTTCAGTAGATTTGATACAGCGAAAGGCTAATAAGGAATAGAAACAATCACATGAATTGAATCTATAGAAACAATCACATGAATTGAATCTATGTAACTTTGCAATCACAGGAATTCACAAAATTGGATAAATTGACTAAACAACCACAATGTTTATAAAATCAGAATAATAAGAGTTAACCCTAGAACACATGAAACATCCTTTAAATACTAAGTAATAAACTGGAAATCCTAATTATGTAAGGAATAATTAATTATGAAATAATTCAAATAAACCCAAATTGGAAAAACTTTGGAAGGCTCAAACACATATTTTCAGGCCTTTTTTGGGTTTTTAACGATGTCCATCATGGCTGAAGGCAATGAGTCTGGTAAGGCTAGGCATAAGTTTCGATTTGTTATATTATATGACGGCAGAAAACTCGCCTCTAAGTTGTCACTAGACGCGACGCGACAACGGGTCTGCATACATCGGACCATCAGCAGCATGGAAGGGATAAAGATCATCCACATTAAATGTTCACGAAATTTCCATATTGGCAGACAAGTCCACCACATAAGCATTATCATTGATCTTCAGCAAAATGGTATATGGACTATATTTCTTTTGCTGCAACTTGCCGTAAGTACCAACAGGAAACCGCTCCTTGCGCAGGTACACCGTNTTAAAAAATAAAAAATAAAAAAAATTGCACGTATCGTGCGTTTCGTACCGATACGTATCGTGTATCGGACGATACAACGTAAAAACGATATATAATTACGATCCGTATCGTTTTAGGGCTGTATCGTAACGTATCGTACGATACGTATCGCGTATCGTACGATACTAACAACTTTGCTTTCGACCCAAATTTAATGCACAACCATCAATGTAACTTCATCTCATGGAAGTATTTCTCAACTCATACTTGGTTTGTAGTGTAGTTTAGATTTTTTGAAGTTTTGGTCGATCAGGTATGGAACAGCTCTTCCAAGTTGACTGTTGAATAGTTTTTGCAGTTCTAAATATTTAAGACCTTAGAATCTTTTAACAGTTTATGCTAGGTCATACTTAAGGAGTGGTAATTGGCCTCCAAATTAAAGCTGCTGCTTATCACAAAGATTAGTCTTAACGTTTTCAGATAAATGAGTACTGTGGGCAAGGAAATGGATGGCAGGCATTAGATGTTTGATGTGATGAATTTCCAAATAATGAGGGTGTCTTTCAGCTTTGTTTTGTCTTATTTTAACTTTGTATTAGTATATATTTGTTTGTTTGCACTAGTTTCAGTTTCTTGGTTGTCCAATCTCTTTCTAATACAGATTTTGTTTAGCCTTAATTGCTGTGGATGCTACAACCGATCATTTTGGTTCTTTATGTGGTCTTCCTATTTACCATTTGACTATAATAGTTAAGTGTTTGAGATATCAGAAGAGACCAAGAGTTCTATAATAAGCCTTCTATTCCTATGTACAAGTGAAATTGAATTTGATATACTGATTTTCTTCCTTTTTCTCTATTGGTTATCTAACTAAAGGAATTTGCTTCTTTGTGATAGTTTAGGATATTTGCGTACTCTTTCTATAGTTTTGTACTTGTGAATATGTGTGAATTGCTATAGATTAAATCTTGTAAGATTCCTTATTTCTTTGACAACTGGTTTTTTTCGCTCCCCCTACCTCTCGTGGCCCTCTTATTTGGGGTTGTAAGTGATTAATCTGATTATGATTCTTTTGAGTTAATGAAAAGGAGCTCATTTGGTTGTTGATTGTGAAAATTCTTGCTCTAATATGGTCTAATGTAGGATTTTGTTTAATGTTTCAACGTTTGTTAACCAGAATCAAAGGAGAAAATAAGGTATATAGCTAGTCCTCCACAGTGCGGATGATAACCAGCCCAGACATCATAGGGATCATGCATGACAGCAATTTCAAACGAATGCTGCCTAAAATTTCGTTGTAACTTGTCCTTCAATAAGATTGTGGATGCTGTATTGATCTCATCTCTTTTGGAAATGATTCAACCACTTAAACCAAGAAACTGAAGTATTTTCTCGCTGCAATTGCAGCCGAGAAGTGGCATTGTTTACCGATGCCAATTTACTGGCATCTGTTTCACATTTTCCATGCGAAAATTAGCATTGTTCATTCTCTTTTATGCATCAAGGTTCTGTGATTATTCTCTTGAATGACTTTGTGCTTTCAGTAGGTGGTTTGCAAGCTTTCAGTAGATTTGATACAGCGAAAGGCTAATAAGGAATAGAAACAATCACATGAATTGAATCTATAGAAACAATCACATGAATTGAATCTATGTAACTTTGCAATCACTGGAATTCACAAAATTGGATAAATTGACTAAACAGCCACAATGTTTATAAAATCAGAATAATAAGAGTTAACCCTAGAACACATGAAAACATCCTTTAAATACTAAGTAATAAACTGGAAATCCTAATTATGTAAGGAATAATTAATTATGAAATAATCCAAATAAACCCAAATTGGAAAAACTTTGGAAGGTCCAAACACATTTTCAGGCCTTTTTTGGGTTTTTAACGATGTCCATCATGGCTGAAGGCGATGAGTCTGGTAAGGCTAGGCATAAGTTTCGATTTGTTATATTATATGACGGCAGAAAACTCGCCTCTAAGTTGTCACTAGACGCGACAACGGGTCTGCATACATCGGACCATCAGCAGCATGGAAGGGATAAAGATCATCCACATTAAATGTTCACGAAA